GTGTGTGTGTCTCTCTCTCTCTCTCTCTCTCTCTCTCTCTCTCTCTCTCTCTCTCTCTCGGTGTGGATGAAGTTACGCATAATCTCTCCCTAATTGGGAAAATAATGATAGATGAACTCTTGACATCAGCAAATTGCACAAGACGATGAGGTTTCTAAGTTTCCTGTAAAATGTTTTGGAGAGATCAAGGAGTCGATATATATAAATTGGAAATTATTTTACTGTAGAGGTGCATTGCTGTTATTAAAGTTATACACCAAAACTTTTGTTCACTCTAATGACTACATATAACAAATAGTTAAAGTATATATAAACTTTAAAAGTATATATTTTAAGATAGAATTATTTATTAATCAAATCCATTCACCTTCCATCTACTCCAATGATAACAGAGAGAGTGACACAGAAATACTAAAAGCGAATATAGAAATTCATTGAAAATCGTTTTACTATAGGAATGCGTTAGAATTATTTATTAAGCAAATATACTAAAATTTTCTTTCCCTCTGATAATTAAATATAGTGACATACCAAATACTAAAATCATTTATAAAAATTCACTGAGGAATTATTTTATTATAAGAAGGCATTAGAATTATTTTTTAAACAAATACATCCAAACTTTCATTCTTTCTTATGATTACATATAGAGTGACAATGCAAATATTAAAAGCTTATATAGAAATTCACTGAGGAATTATTTTATTATAAGAATGCATTAGAAATATCTATTAAATAAATACGCCCAAACTTTTATTCTCTCTTATGATTACATATAGTCACAATGCAAATACTAAAGGCACATCTATAAAGTCATTGGAAATTATTTTGATACAGGTACGCATTAAAATTATTTATTAAATAAATATGTCATAAGTAACTTTTTCTGTAATCTACCCGTGAAATCCTTTTCGGCTCAAAGTTGTTGAAGTGTATACACATATTTCAGCGTTCTCCAAATGTGTTCAGATAACATTTCTGCTGGATTTGGGCTTGAGTAAAACATTTCTTTTTATTTATGTCATCTCTCTTGTTGAAACAGTGATTGAAAATTCTTCCTAATTACGAATGGTACATGTAAATTTTGTTGTCCTCTCTTCAGGATTAATAAGCCTCAGTATTGCTGTCGCGTCTGGTCTGGTCTGGTCTGGTCTGGTCCGGTCTGGTCTGGTCTTGTGATCCTGCTACATATTCAGATTCTTAATAAAATAAAAAAAAAACTGCAATGCTACTGGACCTGACCTGACCTGACCTGGCATATCGGCTTCAGTCACTTTTCCGCCGCAGAAATATAGCTTCCCTTTGGCTTTTTTCTAGAAATACTTTCAGGGTAATTGTTTTCATGAACTTTTCTTAGACTTTATGAATTTAAGCAAAATATTAGATTGCGGACAAAGGCTTATCATTTTACATTTGAAATGGCTAGATGTAACCAGAAGTTTTTACACTGACAGTTTCTTCTATCGCTCTTCTGGCTTGTAGAACTCTCTTCTAACTTCTTGTTTCACAATTAACTTTGAAGATCAAAAATTTAAATGCAATATCAATATTTATCTTTGTTCTTAATTCTTCTTCTTTTATTTTTTTCTCTCCTTAATTAATTTTTCTCGCATTCTCAGACACTTACTAATCCCTTGAGTCATAGAGTATTTATTGCCTTGCTTGAGGTGAAATGATTTAAAAAAAAAAAATAAAACCCTAAAACGAAGCATTACACTATTCAGGGCCGTATAAGAATGAAGCATTAAAATACACATAGCATATAAGAATGATCGTTACAATCCGTAGACCATATAAGAATGGTGCTTTATCACACGCAGAGAGTATACGAATAAAGAAAGGCAATGTACAGGACGGCATAAAAATGATTATATCTACGTGGATGACACTACTATTTACTACTGCTTCAATAGTAAATCTGATATCGTTGACAAAACTAACCTGGCTGCTGATCTCGTAAAGGACCTCCAATTTGTGGCAGGAAATGTCTTGTAAACTTTACTGCCTCAAAACAAAACTGCTCTCCTTTACCCACCACAGAGAACTCTCCCCGCTTCCCATCAGAATGGCTGATTCCCAACTCCTCGGGAGCGCCTCGTTACGCCTGCTTTTGTCTCACGCTGTCTACTGACATGGAGTGGAATAAATACATCGGATCAATAGCTTCATCTACCGCAAGGAAAGTTGATTTCTCTGTACCGTGCCAGTGAGTTTCCCCCGTCTGAGTCCACCCTTCAAATTTATCAATCAACCATCCGTCCTTGCATGAAATATTGATGTCATATATGGACTGGTGCTCCCGTTCTACGTCTCTGGGCCCTCGACAAAAATCCTGAGACGAATATGCATTGTGATAGGTCCTGATCTGGCATCTCGTCTACAATCGCTTTCCTACAGACGTGGCGTGTCTTCTCTCTGTCTCTTCTACATGTATTTTCACGGCAACTGTTCCGACGAACTACTTTCGCTGGTTCCCGGACTGCCACAATTTAAGTTGGCTTCTCGGTCCCACCCTTTCACTGTCGGAACGGTTAAATGTAACCGTCTCTTCTACTCAAACAGCTTATTCTCTCGCACTCCCTGTCTGTGTAACTTTCTTCCCCTTGCTTTCTTTCCAGTGATTATAATCTTCAAATGTTCAAGTGTAATGTCAATCGACATCTGATACCGTGAGATTGTTCCCCGACCTTCTCTTTATCCTTTCCTTAAACAAGCCGCTTGACTCTTGTTCTCAAACCTCAGAAATCCGTTGCGTGCCAGTGGCACTCCCGCCTTGCCTGGGGGGGGATTTGCTTTAAAAAAAATACCTTTATACTTAATTTATTGCCAGAACGCTAAACATTAACCTGAAAATTCGAGTAATATTCTTAAATAAGCTTGTTAGATCGAAATTTCTTATATGGATGTCATGAACGACACCAAACACATTCAGAAATATCTAAATTTTCAGCAGTATACAACTGTTTTCTAAGATCAATGATTAAAAATGACTTTGAGCAAGTGAAGCCTATGGATCTTAGTGAAGACCACACTTCTTCAAAACTTGGCACGACAGAATCACAAATGATTTATCAAATAACAGAAACCACTTCACGTGAGAGATTTCAATAGCAGCAGCAACTAAAGCGGATAGCACATGTAACTCGAAGAGAAAATAATAATATAATCAATATGTTAACATTCCACACAACTTCAAATAAAAGGTTAGGAAATAAACCCCTATAAGTACTGGTAAGAGAGATAAGAGACACTGGATTTGAGAAACATATTTTCCTGAAAAATTGTTTTAAGAGAAAGTTTTTTTTATATTTTAACTGACAATAATACCAGCTGCTCGGTCCATGAATGTTGAATGTTTCTTTTATAAGGAAACATCTAATATTATTGAATAACATTGCAATTATCATTAGAGATGAAGCAAACTCATAGTACACTTTGATCCCACCCGGATAGACATGTAAGAAAGAAAAGCGTAACTGTCTGCTACTTTAATGAATGACGAAAGTTTCCTCATAAGGAAACCACCAATATTATCATTATTTTATCATTAAGTGCGAATAATTATACAAAGGCTATTGTCGATAATTGTGGCAATATAATAAAAACATTTATTATCCCTTATTTGTGTTAATTGTGTAGATAAATATCATCAAATAAAAATCACTTTGTATTATCAGAATAACAATGTCAAATAATTTTGCGAGAATATATATATATATATATATATATATATATATATATATATATATTCGGTTTATACGTTATTTTTATAGATATAATTAATATTATAATACATTTAAATAAATCCTCTGCTATATTTTTTTAATTAAACTGTATTAATTGTATTAGCCGGCCTTAAAAACTAATATTATATAATATTATTATATTACGTAATATATGCAATAAATATGTGCTTCTCTCACAGGAATCGAACCTGGAACCCCTAATGGGAACCATCATTTGAATTTGATCTGATGCTTTGTTAAGTGCCTTTAATTAAATAAATTATATCTATAAAAATAACTTATAAACGGAAAATATATTAAAATACATGTTGGAAATAATCCATTTCATAATATATATATATATAAAAGACAGGATATGTATGTATATATGTATGTGTGCGTGCGTGCGTGCGTTTGTGTGTGTGTGTGTGTGTGTGTGTGTGTGTGTGTGTGTGTGTGTGGAATGCACGGCCGCAATTTTCGACGGATTTGCACCAAAATTTACATGAACATGCTCCAAGTTAGCGGAAAGGCCAAGACCGACTTTGCATTTCCTAACTCCCATCGATAGTAGTTTTCATGTAGTTTGCGGCCATTTTGTACTGGCCAGAGTGAGAGCCTATAGCTGGCTGCAACGAATAGGCAGGAAGATTCTATTGGCCAGCGTCAGAGCCAACAGCTAACTGACACGAATGTTAACTAGCATGCTAGCATGCAAAAAATTCGATAGCTTTATTCGTCACAAGTGGGAAAAATTTAAATCTGCATGGCACTTTAATCCAATTGGATCATTCGCTTGCTTAAACTCAACGTTAATTCTGATTCCGCAGAACTGGGTTGGGTGTGAAAAAAGTATTTTTTGATAACATTCTTTTTTCATTCGGTTTTTCCAGTTACGAGTCCTTTTTTTAAAGCTGATCGTTTTGTGTTCATTTTGTTTAGTTCTTTTTTGTAACAGATTTAATGTTTAGTGTAGAGCGTAGAAAAAATTCGAAGTGTGAGATAGGCAGGAAGTAAGGCATGTAGCAACATTAGTACGGCAAAGGGCACTCCTTTAAAGGCAAGGAAGGGCAAAAATATTTTAAGTCAAGTGATAGCGATTGCTGTATGAGTCGTACGATTTTTGAATACCCAGGACGATTTCTCTGATGAAGCTGGAATAAAATTGAAACAGATTAATAAACGTTTCCTATTTGTTCGTTATCCTATCATATAAATCAATGTGACGTTTGAAGCTACTTCTTGTCTGGTATATTGACACTATCTCCTCACGTTATGCTCTTTTGCAAACGGGACCATGTTATAAATCGCCTTCCATTTCTGTTAATACGCTTTCTTCAAGCGAAATGAAATGAAAACAAATGCCATTAAATGAAATGGTTGGAAACCTGATAAAGCCAAAGCGTCAAAATCCCGTCTTAGAATCTGTTGAGTGCAATAAAGGCAATTGCGACAAAATCTCATATCGGTTTTCCCGAGCTCGATCATCGGGCTTTTATGTGTTTTCGCATTCGCTTTTCGCCTGTGCAAGAAAACGATTATCTTGCAGATGACAACCCGAGAACAATGAGTAGGAAATAAAGATTCAGTTCTCACAAACGCCTAACACTGAATATTCTGTATTTATTGCATTGTAGCAGTATTTTCATTCAACGATAGATAGAACTACCATAATCACTTATAAGGCTAGATCATAAGTAATTTCACTTTTGAGGAACCAGTTATAATAACGAACACATCATTCTAATTATTAATCATGCTTGAAGTTAAGAATAAGTCTGAAATACAATAACATACCCCTTTTTCCACGCAAGTGGAAGCGTAAACACTTGATTGGAAGATTATTGTTCAACCCAACTAATGTAGCGATTGTATGTGCATTAAATATCGCATAATGCCATGGGAGTTCAAGCAATTGAGATATACAAAACAAGGTATGTACTATCTATATTTCTGAGATGAGGTATTATATACATTATTTACATTATTCGGACTATTCTCCTCATCTTTGTCGCCATATTTATTACATTTCGGCTAGGTCACAAAAATCGCTTGAGCCGACCTAGTATAGAAATGAATACAATATGGGAACCAGTAATAAGGAGTGTCAGAGAAAAGCGATAATAACAGCAAAAATTGCAATATGAGCACTGGTAAAAATGGTTGGTGAAAGATTAGGTTTATAATATCCAGAAATTCATACACAGACAAGGACACATTGCACAGTGGATGAAGACGTTAGTTAGATGCAGTGACAGGACCCAAAGAGTTTGAGTTCAATACCTGGTTAAGAGGGGAATTAACAGGAGATAACTGATAACTGACATCCATTAAACATGGCACATGGAACTAGAACAGTGAGCGAAATAAAGGGTTCAGTTCGACATTTCAACTACCTGAAAAAGGCCGAAACGTTGTAATAAAATATGGTGACAAAGATGAGGACAATAGTCCGAATAATGTAAATAAGGTATATACTGTTTATGGTCAAAGAATCATAACTGAGCGGCTAGGCGCACTTCAAAGTGGTGTAATGGTTAACAAGCTTGTCTTACTAGATCCATTACGACTGATTAGTGAGTTCGATCGTCACTGGATTTTCCATACATTCGACCATGTGCCACAACTAAAATACGCTTAGTAAATCGATTTGGGCACTTCGACATAGTGTAATGGCGAGGAAGCTTGTCTCGGTAGATCAATCACGATTGACCCATACTATCGGCCTTGTGCCACATGTAAGCTATGCTTAGAAAACCTCAACTAACCTCCTAGTAAGAAAATAGGTATCTTGAGAAACGTCATTGGAAGGTAGACCTGGACTGGATGGTTCATCTGACTTTTATGATAAGTTATGGTGATTTTCTAAGCGTATCAATACACTAAGTAGAGCAAATCTAACTATGAACCCTGACGATCCGCGTAGGTGAAACCTAGGTAGGTTTGCCTGGCTCTTTAGATTCATAGTTATATATATATATATATATATATATATATATATATATATATATATATATATATATATTGACATGTCTCATTAATTCATTTAGACAAGTTTATCTATCTATCTATCTATCTATCTATCTATCTATCTATCTGTCTGTCTGTCTGTCTGTCTATTTCATACTATTCATATAATTCTGTTCATTCCTATGTGTTTTTATCTATCTCATTCTGTTCGTATCTCTCTCATTCTTTTCATATCTATCTATCTATCTATCTATCTATCTATCTATGTATTTGTCTGTCTGTCTGTCTGTCTGACAGTTGTTTTGTTTCGCTTTATTTTTCTCTCGTTAAAAAATTTTCTCGGTGGATCGAATATATTCAGCGGAGACGACCCTGCCAACACTAAATTAAGTACAATTGGGACAATGGAATTAAATAAGCCCCTAGTAATTTATATTTGCGTTTAGAGAATTATGAGGTTAGACAAGGTACAAAGTCTTGTTAGTCTCTGGCGTTTTGTTAAATGAAGCAGATCACCGTGTCGTTGCATATAAATCTGGGTTGATATATCTTAGACATTTGCTAGAAAAAATGGGATCTTTTTTTTTTACGTTTATTGTCACGTGATATCCGTCCACTTGTATGGCAGAGAGTGCTGGACAATTTCCTCAGAGGTGAAAAAGAGACTTGAAGCAACAGAAATGTGGTTCTACAGAAGGATGATGAGGATATCATAGACTGAATACGTGAACACGACGGTGTTTTAGAGAAAATGGAAACAAAAAGACACTCATGTTTAGCACTAGAAAGAGACAGTTGAAGATTCTAACGTACATAATGTAATGAGGAAAGAGGGCTTGGAAAATTTGATACTCACAGAACATATTAAAGGCCAGTGGGACCACGGAAAGCAGTCCGTAACATACATAACGTGTTTGTGTAAATGGTTGTTAGAGTAGGGATTAAAAGATATAGTAAGACGAAAAAATTATCCCGTCCAAAAAGGACCGGAAATTGTGGGAAGCCATGATCGCCCACATACTGAAGAGGATATATGGAAGAATGAAACTTTATTTTTACTTACAGCCATAATGTTGGTCAACAGGCCATAACTTTCAGTGTAGTACGTTGTAAAACAGTATCCAATAAATGGATACTCTCTGTGTTCTCATTGAGTTTAATGTATAAATTAAATTTAATAAAAGCAATGATATTCACCTGTAAGTCATGAATACAAAATGTAGCTGATAATAAAACAATACCAACCATTACTTATATATGAAACAAATATAGACTCAAACTTAGTTAAAATTAACGATATACCAGGTTTGTGTTGGTTTGGTTTGTTTTACGGCATATCAACTACACTGGAATTAAATAACCGACAAGATGCCGACAAGAGTTTTATTGCTAGTAATATTTTTCAAAAATTGCTGCTAATATCTTTTTCCCAAAAATATATTGCTGTTAATATTGCTGTAATATTTATTCTTTCAAAATTGTATTGCCGGTAGTATTTTTCCTTCAAAAATTCGTTGGTGGTAATCATTTTTTTCTTCAAAACTCATTGCTGGTAATATTTTTACAAAACTGTATCGCTGGTATCAAAACCCATTTTTACTCTTTCATAGTGTTTTGACCACAGTTTGGCGGTTAATTATTTGCCTATAACTGAGACCCTAACAGGTGCTACCACCCCGGGTCAGGGGTGGGGGGGGAACCTGGGGACACCAACAATTAAGAGGCCTTGCTGTAGGATGTAGTTTTTCGTCATACCCAGGACGCGGATGTAGTTTATCGTCATACACAGGACGGAGATATACCATGGATTTTTATCTGCAAATCATGGCTACACAATGCAACGAATATAGAAGAGCGTCTACCACCATTGATTCAATATTTTCTTCTTCTTCTTCTTCTTCTTCTTCTTCTTCTTCTTCTATCTGTTGTGTCTCTTCAGTACGTTGACGATCACGACTCTCCCCAACTTTCTGGCCTTTGTAGCAATTAGTAAATTTTGTCTTTTTGTTATTTCTCCTAAACACTATTCTACCTTACATTTACATAAACCCACTAAGTAATGCGTTGTTTACTATATCCATCTCGTCTTCAAACTGTCCTGTGAGTATCAGATTTTCCATGCCCTCTTTTCTCATTATGTGCTCTGGGAATTTCATATATCTCTAACTGATGTTATGTATAAGTGTCTTTTTTGTTTATATTTTCTCGAAAACCTCTTCATTGCTCACATGTTTGGTCCATGGTATTCTAAGCATCCTTCTGTAGAACCATATTTCTGTTGCTTTAAGTATCCTTTTTCATCTGTGAGGAGATTGTCTAAGATTCCCTGCCATATAGGAGTACTGATATGTTCAACAGTTTTTAGAATGGACAAAATAATTAAATTAGCATCATTGTGAAATATATTCTTTTTTCAAAATTACTTGATTTGATTGTTAGTTAATAATTCTAATGTAATAAAACAAGTTTTAAATCAGATTCATGGAAATTGTTCGGACGAGTCCTTCGGTAACGTACGTAAAGTTTGTTTTTTGTTTTTTTTAATTTAAGCGCAGTATTAGTCTGGCAACGAAATCTCATCAATTTAAAGTTAAGCTGGCTAGATGTAACCGTAAGTTCTATGCTAACAGATTCTTTTCTTGCGATTCTCGCCTGTGAAACTACCTTCCGGTTCCAGGCTTTCAAACCAACTTTAAGCAGCAAAAATTTAAATGCAATGTCAATCGCTATCTAATGCCTTTCTGGTTGCTCTTCTAGTGTTCTCTCTCTTTAATAAGGTCTCCGTTCTTAATTCTTCCACACCTAGTGTCTTAGTGGCTTTACTTCCTTACTTTGGGTGATACCTTTTAAAAAAAAGATATAATAAGGAAACCGATATAAATTTACATCTCTTAAAAATCACGGCAAATAAAGTCTCTAAATTTATAAAATCTATTTTAGATCAGATGGAATAATGAAACTGATAGCAAGAATATGCTGGCCGAATGTTAGAATCTCTTGGAAGAATCTTTTGTTCGATGTTATGAAATGAAATGAAAGACTTGAATATTCTGTGATTTAAAGTAAATTGAAGGTATCCACTGGTTTAGAGTAAGACGAGTGTAAGCCTAAAATGTTCACTGTTCGAATGGATGCAGTCGAAACAAAGATAACATTTCATCAGACACGCATTTGTATAATACACTAAAACTTAGGACTGAAATTGAATACAGCACTGCGCCTGAAAAGATCAATTACAGCAAAGATAATTGGAAATTGCTGTAAGCGAGGGTCTAGATAGAAGCCAGATTCAAAGTGTAACACGGTGAAATGTTTTAATACTGACCATCGGGAACAGATCTTGAGGGTGAGAAGAGAATAAAGAATTCCGTCTCTGATTGGATATCGACAATAACTTGGTGTAACCGTCATATTTAAAAAACAAATATTCCTTCTGCTCGCATAAGTCCTTCTTATAAGGCTTTTTAACCGATTTGTATTCTATGTTGTAGCTTATTCATTGCAGTGATTCAACAGAAAAAAAACACGGGCCCTGGACGAACGTCTTTGTTAGATAACAACCGTAATCGATGTCATAAAAGCTTACATGACTAAAATACCAGGAGGGACCGATTACCATTCCGGAGTTAAAAAAAATAATGGCATGTTATATATTTCTGAGTTTTCGATTAGTAGATTAGGGTTTTGAGATCAATATTAAATGTTGTCACTATTCTTATGATCACGTTCCTTATAAATGTATGCATATACGTTGTTGCCAAGTCTTACGGCCACATCACATTGAAAAACCACTTTCCTGAACAAAGTCAAGCAACGTCGAGCGTAGTCAGTACCTAGATTGGTAACCGCTTAGGAATACTAGGTATTGTAAGCTTGGATGTGTGGGTGGTGCAATAAATAATGGCACGGAATGCTTAATCGGAGATCCGTGTTCCAATTCCGGTTGGGTTCGTTATATTCACTTACGCGCAAATACATTTGAGAAAGTTATGAATTCCCCTCTTCTCCTTCCACCTTTAGGTTAATTAGTAAAACTTGTATCACTAAAACTAATATTATCTTAAAAAGACAATCTCACTATCTAAAAATGTTTTGCAACTTTAAACACCCGTAAAAGGTTGATAAGACGTAAAAATACGAATCAATGAAAAAGCTAGAGTCCGTATTCTAAACAATGGCTTCGTAAACTAATGTGGTAGACCACTACAAAGGTAGAATTCGATTTTTCTCACTGTTTTACTAATAGCTAGTTATCCTCTTACTATCGTCTATGATAAGTAGCCCTGTGTAATTTTCTATAAAGAAGATAATATTATTGTTATCGTTTTTTTAAGTCTCGTTCTGGACGTGATTTTGACCAGTTTTGCTTATATTTCAGTAAGAGAGTAGAAATTTTCAGTCGAAATATTCCTTTTTGAAATCCGTTAAGAAATTTTGAAACCAATTTTGCTATTATTTTTCTTTTATTCTTTTTTGTTGAATTGATTTTTTTTTATTTCTTCTTTCTTTGTCATCTTTCAGTTTTATTTTTTCTCATTGTCCGTCAAACTTACGGAGACAAAGATGTGGAAGTCTCACAAAACTTCCCAGAAGCCCAGAGAGTTCTGACGGTCGTCCGAATTGGGTCGGGGACGCAGCAGACATGGGATATGGTCGAGGGGGCCATTAATTCTTCTAAAATGTCACCCCCAATTGCTATCGTCGAAGACGATCTCCAGGTTTCCATTATATAGTTTACTCTGTTCATAGTCTTGCCCGTGTTCGTGTAAACTGAGAGAAGCCTAAGGTTAAGATATGTGGCTTCTGCAAATTAAACGCATTATCAAAGACACATGGCACAGTGGATAAAGGCGTTGGTTAGATCCAGTGACAGGACCCAAAGTGTGCGAGTTCAATACCCGGTTAAGGCAGTGGAGAACTTTCAGAGGGAAATTAACAGATATAACTGATAACTGGCATCCATTAAACATGGCACATGGAACTAGAACAGTTTACCCCAGTGAGCAAAATAAAGGGTTCAGTTCGATATTCCAAGCACCTGAAGCGTACAACGGTCGAAACGTTGTAATAAATATTGCAACAAGGATGAGGACAATAGCCGGAATAATGTAAATAATGTACATAATACCTCATCTCAGAAATATAGACAGGTGCATCATTATTTGGTTAGCAAGATTTCCGGAACAAGCTACTACTAATGTCACAGCGGTAAATGACGGCGGGGGGGGCTGTGGTGGGTTAATTTAAAATCCAAAATTAGGTCTTTTGCTGCTGATTTTAGTCGCCGACTCAATCTAGCAAGAT